TTTAACTATGTACCATTTATTGTATGTCAATTATACCTCAAGAAAGCTTTGAAATTTTGGTAGCCTACTTTAATAAAATGTATAGGATCTCATGTTGTGCATTTCTGTGTGTCAAAAATATGTTTCATTTTGTATCATTTTCCAATCAAATTTTGCATAAATTTTCTTTTTTTCTTTTTTATCCTATATTATATGATAGTCTTAAGCACATTCTTTGTGTAGGAAGATGGGGTATAAAAACACATACAAATACAACAGTGTCATATTTCCTCAGGACCATCAGATGTTAAAGGCTAACAAAAGTCTATTTACATATGTAAATTTAAAATGCACCACTCAAAGGGCTGTCCATGGAATATGAGTCCATGCTATATACTCCACATTTCTTCTAAATTACCTGATTTCATTTATTCATTCATTCATTTACCAAACATAATTTCTGTGATAAAATTTGAGTCATAAAAATACATGATATTTGAACTGATCTTATACGGTGATTAGAGCTGTAGTTTAAGCATCACATGAAAAACGGTGGATGAAAGTTACACTCATGTTAGATTCAGAGTTTCATATCTATACATTATTGTTTTCTTAAATGTTCAGTAGAACAATTTATTTTCAGATTTGTTCTTCCACATGCTGACATTTGAGTGGTTGGATTTTATTTGAAGTAGTACCCTTTTTAAAGAAGGAAAAATAGGATAAATGCCAAAAGCCTCTATGAACCTCAGGGTTTATGGTACAGAATTATTGATTAAATTTAGTTCTTAATTTGAAAAATAAGTTTCCTGGACTGTACCAACTAGAGTGTGAATTAATTTAATGTAGTTTAAAATATAAGCATTACTGAATGCAGTTAACTTTTTATTATGTTATTTCTATTTCTTGAAGCGCATCCCCTTGTTTAGAGATTTTTTTTTCTCCACAGGGTAAAAGTATTTCTGTCCTTTTTAATTTCACCTTCATGGGCATGTTGCAGATATTCTACCTCACTATGTTTTTTGGGTCTATTGTAGCAGAGCCAATTCTTCACTTCTGTGCTTCTCACCTGTTTCTGTCTATTTATTTGTGTATGAGATGTCAAAGGAAAATGAAAAGTAACACCTCAAAATACCACCTTGAAAAAGAAAATGCCAACAAATTCTTTTCTGCACCTGAAGCTTTTAATTCTTTAATCCACCATGGAATGTTGCTTAATTACATATTTTATTATGCATAACTGAAAATTATGTACTTTAGTTTCAACAATGATATGAAAGCGCAAGTATTGTTTATAAATAAAGAGAGGCTGGTTTGTCTTTATTTTTTATGTTACAAATATTTGTGGAATTCTCACAGGTTCTTCCTCTAAACTTGGCTTTTTTAAAATTCTCAGGGGACTCTAAGAAAAACTTCCAAGTTTTAATATTTGTTTTCTAGAAATTGGAAAATTTATTACTTTTCAAATAGTAAGATTTAGTCATAACATCACTATGGGCCAAAGCCATTGAACAGGTTGGGTATTTTCATAAAAGTTTCATCTTAATTTTAGCAAGTTTTACAATTTATTAGTGGGAAATGTTACATCCTTGAACTGGGTGATGAATCCTTGGGGGTTCATTATTCTATTATCTTTATTTTTTCATGTGTATTTGAAAATTCCTGTACTAAAGTTTTTTGCTTTTTGTTTGTTTGAATTTGGTGTATATGGAGCTTACACTAGGACAGCAGAGTTTTGGGGTTACTATTTCATGATGAAACATTTCATACACTTGGTTTCAATTACTTCAGTGATGAACTCTTTTATATTAGCAAAATGCATGTTATAGTTCTGAAAATTTTGAATTGCAATTTTTTCTGTATTTTATTCATTGAAAAGTTTTTAAGAAGAAAATAGAGATAGAAATCCAGAGAGAAGACTTGAGTTTGAGACCAATGTGGCCACTCAGCTGAACAAGTCAGTTGCCCTGAGTTTCCCCTCCTTTGTCTTTAAAGTGGGAATTTCGGTGCCAGCCTTACATGCCTCAGAGTGGAATGGAGGTATGTTTGTGGCACTGCCTTTTCAAATGAAGCATTCAACAAATGTTATTGCTATTATCATTTTAAGCATATTTGAAGGTGATGTTAGGAAGGGAGCCTCAGAAGGTGGGGAGGCTTTTTATGAGATCTCGTGAAGCAAATATTTGGAAAATAAAATTGGCAACAAGGGTGGAGTATGTGAAACCTGTCCCCATATTAAGACGCTGTTGGACAGGCTGTGCTCTGAACAAATGCTCATTTTGCACCACCTTGCCACAGACTGAACAAATTGATGGACACAAATATTTGAATGTTGTCAACATTGTCATCTATCAGGGACTATTGGTTCTTCTGTTGAGTGTCAAAGCAGAGCAAAACATGGATCCTTTGTTTTTGGGGAGCATAGGGTATGAATTATATAGACTGTCACTGGAATGAAAACTTATTTAACTACTACAAAAAGCAAAGATTCAATAGCAGTGAAAAGAATCAACTAGCAGTAAAGAAGTGTTCAGCATTTAACTTAGTGCAAAATATGTCATTTTAGTTCCTTTGCTAGTGTTTACTTTGCAAGGCAACAAATATAACCTACTGCTCTGGCATCCCCTCATCAACCACCTCATTTGAGAGCACAGGGCCCAAGTCATGTGCTTTTCATCACAGTAGGGATATTAGCAGTTGAGAATAGCTGAAGGAAGAAAGTGACAATGCACAACGTTGGTGCAAGGCAAGACGCCATAATGGAATTGTAGAATTATTTTTGATCAAATTAAATTTGAAAATACATATAACCCACATAAGTAGGGTAATGTATGAAAGGCTTAAAAATGTTGCTCATTTTAAAATTAATTCCAAACTATTTTATTTAACATTTGGTACTGTAAACAGGTATAGTATTCTCGACATACACCTTCCACCACATTTCTTTAATAAGGGTACTTTTATATTTTATCAAAAACGTGTATGTTAATAGATTGTAGCTTAGCTTTTGTCAAAAAGACATGCAAATAGTATTTACATGAAAAGATTACCTCAGAAGAAACACTGAATCCATAATACACTCCCTTAAAAAGTCAAAAATATTTATTTGTAAGGTAGATTATAGCATTATTATCTTCTGATATTCTAGAGATGATTAATATTTTTGGACCTCCATTGGTTTCCACATTACCATGCAAATTTCTGGCTTCACACAACAGTCCTATTTCTATAGGCTATTTAATAATAGGGTATGTACATTTTAATTGGTTTTTGAAAATATGACCAGGCAGTTTAGAATACCTCATTTATTGATAATATTTTGACAATCAAGGAGCTTAATATCAGCTGATAACAATAGGGAATAGGGTGGAATTTAATAATGGAATGTATGGGATTGTCATTTTTAATCAATGTCGAACCATTTGAAAATGTTTTCTACTCAAGCTATATATGTTAAATAAGCACAGATATAGATGTCACTACTTGAAAAAAAAACACTTCTTGTAAGCTCAGAATTCATTAGGACTAAATGTTAATCTATACACATTTTATACATAATATGTACAGACTTTGTAACCAAGTGCCACACAACTAGGGCACACACAAACATATTAGTTACCTTGGTTTTCAAAGGTTATATGTCAACTCTGCATATTTTGTGCCAAGGAGATATTATCAACATTTTTTGCATAATGTGCAAGTATTATATGGCCACAGAGTGTAATACAAATTAGTGGCAAAGTGCTGAGGGAAGGAGTCCATGACACATTCAGATGTACAAGGCTGAATATTACCCGTAAACTACCTGACTCTGCTAAGGTCTTAACAGCACGAAGTGCGATGTCATGCCCAGCTTTTAAAAAGTCTGAAATACTTGGACACAAATGAAGCTTATTCAAGGAATTCCATCATCGCCACTGGCAACAAGAGGACTGGCGTGAGCGATAAATGACACTGGGGGAAGCAATGTATTAAATCACCCAGACAAATCTTTTCCAAAATGTGCCCTCTCCTAAAAATAATTTTGCTCACTCTATGATTGTTTACTGACATGTGCTTTTTTTTTTTGCTTTTTTTTTGGTTTAAAATACCCTCTTAGCAGAGTTACGCTGCTTAAGCTACAGGGTATAAGCAAGAATTTTGTTAGTATTATGTTGATTCCTTACAGACACTCATCAATTCATTGAGAAGGTTACTGCAAAAGTTAGGTTATGAGGAATAGGCAAATCTTATTTGCAAACTAATTTCTCCTTACAAAAAAAAGTACTAAATTTCATACCTCACACCTTATGTTAAGTGTTGGGCTGGTTAAAAAAAAGTCTTCTCTCTGCCGTAGCTTTTTCCTTAAACTCAGAGAAAAGAAGAAGACAGGGTTTTCTTCAACACTTCATGGCATACTATAATACATGAAATCTAAATTTTATTTTATTAATTCACATTCCTTTTGCTCACATGATACTCTGAACTCTAGTGAGCAAGAGCGTTCAAAAGTTGTCTCCTCACTTAAAAAAATTCAAAATTTTTTCAATCAATTTTAAGTTTGCAGTGAACCAGCTGCCTTCCGAGTTCAGCTGTGCTTCAAAAGTCAATAGTGCTTTTAAAGCTGAATTGGGAGTTTTCAATGACCCCATTTTCATTTTGGTTTCCTAAGTAAAACTTGAGCACGAAAGCAGCCCAATTGCCTACCAATGAGCTTATCAGGGCCTGGGGTACTGGTAGGAAGAGAATGGGCAATCTCTGAACCAAGTATGAAGGAACCCAGATACCCCTAATTAACATCTAGGAAACCTTAAAAGGAGGAAGCAAAAGCTAAAGTGAAGACAAAGAAAATAATCCAAAACTGCAACACTGGCCTCAATCCTTTTTATGACCATTAGCACACCTCATTTTGTATCTTGGAGTTGACGGAGTTAAATTTATGTTGCAAGAATTTTGAAGATTGGATTTCAATTCCAGGTGTGTTCTTATTTTCTTCATGTAGTCCTTACAGTTATGACCTACACAACCAAATGAACGTTATTAACTTATATTCCATTTCTACTTATAAAAAAAAAAACATTGCTAAGGAGTTTTTATACAGGAGTTTTATACTTATTTTGTTAGTATTAATGGCCTTTAAAAATATTTATACATTAGCTTTAAAAAAGTGTTGCCATAATTGAAGTATTGAGAAATAAATGCAGATGAAGCCATTCCAAGCACATAACTGCTGGAGCCTGGATTTATGTTTTTGTTGGAGAGTCTTTAGACTATCCTGCTATCTCTGTTTATTAAGCAAAATGTTAACCAAAAACAGGTTATCATCCTCATAAGCTTTAAAAATGAGCATGTGTTTGCGATTTAAATTTACAGTGTGTGAAGGGACTTTTCAATTGTTCTTTTTCCAATCAGGAAATCATCAAGGAAGTATTAACATGCACCTAACTAGGAGGGCCATCTTTGACTCTTCAAAGTCACTTCACATAAGCAGACAAACCCTACCATGTCATACCATACAAACAATTTTAATTGTGTAGTTACAGTCAATAACCACTCCTAATCAGAACATTTCTGCATAAAGAAAATTGTGATACACTTATAAAAACAGCCAGCTGTAACAAAATAGCTGGTGTTTTCATAGCCATAAACTCATAAAAAAGAAATACACCTTTATACAGAAATTTTATACAGATGTAGCTTTAAAATTGATTGTAAACCAAAGGAAGACACATTGCAAACATCAATTATTTTCACATTAATTGCATAATTTTCTAAGGTGATCTATTAGTTTTATTTACCTAAGCTTATTTGCATGATAGTAAAAATTGCATACAACAATAAGAGTGAAGCTTATAGTATGAATTGCTTGGATAACATAGAGCACTTTTTATAGGCAACTGTGTAAAGCACATTTTCTCTATTTAAAACTTTTAAGACACTTTGTTTTACTGCCCATCAAAATACATTTATAAATAGAAAAGAATCAGTATGGTAACAAGAGAAGCAATATTACATTTAACGGAAACTTCCAAAAAATTAATTACAACATGATGCTGCAGGATCTACAAATAAATAATGAGGACTAAATTGTGTTTCACATTTTCTTTTCATTTAAAAAAAAAATCATGGTAACAGTGAGAATGAAAAAAAAAAATTACAGTGAACTTTTATTTCCAAAATAAAAACAAATTTGAATTACGGCAGTGCCATATAATACAAGGCATTTGTTGGCATATGTCATCTTTAAACTGCATTCCACAGTCTATAGTTCTTTTGTAACATACAATAGAGTAACAAACTCTCTTTTTTTCTTTTTTTTTTTTAAAATAAGGGGCGAGTTTCCAAAGATCAGTGTGGAGTGTTACAGAAATAATTAAAGGAAGGAAATAATCACAGAAGTTATAATGCTTGTTTGAGGCTCCAGAATAATAATTAAAAAGAAAAAATCACTGGTGTCATGCTTATGGGGTACACACCTGGGCGCGCCCCACGAACAGAAATTTGAATTTTTAATACCAAACAATCCTCGATGCTTCACCTGGGGCTGCCAAGCAGTTTGTAAAACAGAGTAAAACATTTAGTGCAGTCTGGACTATCCTTTCTTAACTTTCCTGTTTGTGCAAGTTTCTGAAGATTCATTGGCCAAACCATGGACGACAAAGGTTTGCTGCGCGAATATAGGTGGACTTTTCATTTTGCTGTAAATACAGTGGCACTGTTGAGTGAAAATAATACTTTTAGTTCAGTCTTTCAAGTCAGAGTTAATGTCTGTGTTCCCTTCCACTGCAAGCTCGTCTTCTAGTTTCACCGAGAAAAGGGTGTTAGCATTTTTATCCTGGACGCTCTCCTCTAAATCCTTAAGCAATTCCTCTTCTTTGTACTCGGCCACATCCACCTCTAAGCCGGAGTTGTCTTTCAGTTTGCCGTGGTGCTTGAGATAGTACCGCTGGTTCTGAAAGAACTTGATGATGGTGTACTTGGGAAGGTCAAGCTGGGCAGACAGAGTCTGGATGGCCTCTTCGTCCGGGTACAGGCCCACGTCTTGGATGAAACTCTGGAGGATGCCCAGGGCCTCCACAGAAATCTTCGTTCGCGGCCGGGTCTTCTGGCGGTTGTCGTCCTCGGCCTCGGCAGGCGAGGCCACGGTGGGCTGCCGCGGGGGGAGCCGCGGGCCTGCCGGCTGCTGGGCCTGCGGCTGCGGGGTTGGGGGCGCCGGCTGCTGCTGCTGCTGAGGCTGCTGCTGCTGGAAGGCAACAAGCGGACAGTCAGCTGTGCATTCGTGCGCGTTCTCGCAGGGGCTCGTGAAGCCGGCTCGAGTTAGCCAGCATGTGGTTATGAAGCCCACGTATGGCTTCCTGGATGGGGACAAGGGCTCTGGCCCCAAAGGCAGGCCCGCTGAATGGCCCACACAGCATTAGGGGAAAAGTTAAAGTGATAAAAGCTACAAAGGGAGGGATGAATAAGGTGTGGGGGGGAGTGGGCAGCTATGGGTCAGCTTTTTCAGCCTGGCTCATGGGAAGGGAAGTGAAAACGTGAAAACGCAGTGCTCTGAAAATGAGAGCCATACACTTCACCAAAAGGCTGCGCCTTGAAGGTGAAGACAGCAAAGCAAATTATGACATAAATAATTAACATAGCTTTAAAAGGAAGATCAAGGAGGATGTCAAAGGCGGTTTAGAAAGGTGAGCTACAGAGCTGGCACAAAGAAGTGTTACACCCCATGTCATCAGATGGTGAAAACCAGGAGCAAGAAGGGACAGCTTTATTTAAATTACCAATAAAATGGATGAGCCTCCACTCTTCTTCGGCATGATCTCTCACGAGTCCAGAGGACTTGTGAGATTGTCGCATTTGTGAGTCTCCTACCAGACAGTTCTCATTTCATATACACACATAGTTTCTTACTAAATTGTACTCGGCTGATGCTGCAAGTTTTTTTTTACTGGAAAATAAAGGTTCAATCTACTGCACAATGGCTAGCGAATTGTTTTGTCTATAGTAAACTCAGATGTGATTAGGATTTAAATTTAGTGTATACAGACACGTTTTCATAATTAGTATCTGTGTATGTGCTGTCATTTCCATACATAATGACATAACGAATGAGTGACACACACACATCCTGTACTCGATACCCATAATTCTTATCAGCAAATCAACTTGAGTGAGAGGCAAAATAGTGGAACATTTATACTGCGACTAAGCGTTTCCTTTTATCCCCCTAAGAAGCAATTTTATTAAAAACGATTTACATGTTCAAACAAGTACTATTTTTATTAATGTGTATCTTTCTCTTTTTGTTTTTGCTAAACAGTATGTTTCTCAGGCTTTCACGATTATTTTAGTGCTTGATATCCTAAAGGGATTCTCTTTTTCAATTTATCTTTAATACACACTCAAGGATTTTTTTTTTCCTAGTGGATGGATAACCCTATTATTTTTTTTAGCTACATATATATTTTTTTTTCACAGCAATACCCAGAAATAATGCAGGCGATTCACCAAAGGTAAAATCTGGGGACAATGGAAAGCAATGCCATTTTCTCTTAAAGGGGAAAGCTAAAAGCAGCCCCTTAGATATGACAGAAACTTCCTACGCAATCGAGGTCTTAAGAGCACCAACAAACTACCTGACCCTGAGCTTTCCAATCTAAACGCAGAGGGGAGTGCCCTCAGTGGGTGAAGGAGACAAGTCCGATGACATGATCAGCTAAGCACAAGGCTGAATCTGCTGGCACAGAGGTCTTTGGCCACCACCATGGTTAGTATGCCCTTTGAAAGTCTTAATATCCTGACCAAGGCAGCAGGTCTGCACGCCACCCTCTCTGTCTCCCGCTCTTGCTGGCAAAGGTCACTTGTGCCCGCTCACCTGAGGAGCAGCACCGAGCCACGGTGCAGGGGTCAGCAGGCCTGGTAAGAAAACGCCTCTAGACTCTCCTTTCCCAAGGGTGGTGGGAGAGGGGCTCTAAAGGAAAGACAAACAGACATGACTCACCCCTAACCTACGTTCTGTGAGGGTGTAGGGAGGTAGGTACACGGAGAAGGAAGGGCCAAGGAGTCGGAAGAACGATTCCAATTAGGTTTCCCTCCCCTCCTCCTTTTGAACCGAATCCACCGTAAAAAAACTGTGATTCTACAAAATTCCTTTGCAGAAACAACAGTAATTCCTTTCCTCGGGGTCAGTGTTGGTATTCGTTAAAAAATAGATGGTGTGTTTTAAATTCTGATTTAAAAAAATGTTTAAGCTCTCACACACAACCAACCAAATTCTAACAAAGACACGCTAGCCAAACAAGAAGTGTAAAAGGGGGTTCCTGCCACTTTGGAGGTGGGTAAATGAGGGGAGAGCAATGCAAAACACATGTTGGATAAAGTGGGTTAATTTTCCTTTTATGCCCCTGAGGGAGATGGCAGTGTATTGCTATCTCTTGCTTTAGAGCTGCTGGGAAGAAGAAACACTCATTTCCCTGCTAAGTTTAAAGCTCTGTTGACTTAGTGCTGTATTGACCTTGGCCAAGGTAAACGTACCTGAATCTGCTCTGCTGGAACATGGATGATGTGGGGCGGCCTGTCACCATGGTGATGCACCGCACTGCTCTCCTGCTCATATATAGCATCTCGTTCTGGCTGTGGAAGACTGAGGAACCTTCGGATCATGGAGAGGTTCTCCCACAGGGTCCTGTTTTCAGGAGAAGGATCTTCTTTCCAGCGCAACAGCTCACACAACCACCCCTTAGAGACAAGGGAATAACAGGTCAGTCCATGCCTATGGGGTGCTGACAACTTCCATCAGGAGCTTGAAAAGGAAAGACCCTGTGAAGTTAAACTTTTTTCATAAACTCAAAACACTCCACTCTGCTTAAAAAAAAAATTTTTTTTTTTTTAAACTTGTTAAGAGTATAGCTGTGGCTGTCGAGGAGGCAGGCTCTGTTTCTAATAAACACTCAGACTCGCATCTTAAAGAAGGGTCATGTTTTTCAGATTCCAAGGGCAAGACACAGGTACCATGGACTCTGCAATATGTGACACAGGAGAGAAGTAAAGCTGTGTGCTTCGAGTCTTGCCCAACTTTCTCAGCTGATGAGTGGCCACCTGAAGTCCTGGAAGAATTTAAGAAGAGATACAACAGGATTTTAGAGTTATGTTTTTCTAAAAGGATTCCCTAAGTTTGTAATTTCTGTATTAAAAAGGAAACTGTGTGAATATTTGTGTGTATGTATGTCACTGTGTGTAGAAAGAGAAAGAAAGGACACGGGCCGATCTGTAAGCAAGAACACTGTCCAATGCATGGCATAATGATTAGCACAAGCGTCAGAAAAATTCTCCAAGAAAGAACTTTCCTAAAAGACACCTTGGAGTCCTATTTTTCAGCCCCCAGCAGTGTACACATATGATTTGTCAGGCAATCATCTTAATAGATTTCCTAAGCAAAGAGAGGAAATGGCCAACGAATGCCAAAACCTGGACTTCTCTGATGCCTCCTAAGGCCTAGCTTTTGTTCCTCAGATTATCTATCAAGAACTGAGTGGTTCAACATAGTACCTTGTCTAACATTTTCCAATCACCACCTCAAACCTTCTTCATCTTGGCTGCCACGATGGACGCTAAGTAATTGGGTCGGGGGGGGGATCCCAGCAGGATCCCACCAAGACCTCCTTCACTGGCCAAGGTTACCACCCCCAGCTGCTGGGCTGCTTGCTAATCGTGTACAGCCACACTCTTCTCTGGAGAAAGGTCTTGGGACCATCTCACCTAGAGATGCCTGGACAGCTACTCCACTTCATCACTGACCCCGTCACCTGGGCGGCCAGTCACTGGCTGACACAGTGGTACAAAGCCTCTGCCTTCTTGCCCCAAAATGTCAACTCAGTCTACCCTTCAATGTACTCTCTCGAGACGGCCTTCCTGTTCTTCCTGCTCTCTCCCATCCAGAGGCTTCACCCGAGACCACACTCTTCCCATCCTCCCTTGCTTCCAGACCCCTCCCCGGTGAGGAGCACCTGACTCCCCATTTCAGTCTCTGCTTCAGGGCACTCAACCTAAGACAGAGGGGCTTCTTGAAAATTCCAAGTAAACTAGTTGGATGTGAATGGAGAGAGTACAGTTTATCATCTGATTTTTACAACGAGCCAAGGAGAAGGTTTTGTTTTTTTGGTTTTGTTGGCAATGTTACCTTTGGGGTGAGAATGGTATAAGTTTCCTCCCTTTCTTTTCGACTGAACCATTGGGGAGAAAATTCTCCTTCCAACTGCAATTTACAGTGGGAAGCAGGGAGGCCCCTTCTCGCCAAAATGGCCTCGTTCAGAGATTTTAAAAGAAAAGATGGAGAACGGATACGTGAGCTTCCCGAAGCCCATCTGCTAACCAGCCAAGGGGGACTGCTGCTCAACCGCATGAGGTCCACCAGTTTTTCTCAGAGCACTTTCTCTTTGATTCGCTTTGATTCTTTGATTCAACAGGTCTTCTAATTAAACTATGTACATGGGGGCGGTCACACAATCATGCACGTATTCAAAGCCATTGAACACATAATTCAAGGCTGAGTGAGCAGGCAGTAAACTGAAGGTTTACCTGAAAGAGTATTATCTAAATAAAAAATAATTATGATTGCGGCGTCATCAAACATGCTTCTCTTCTAACCAAGGAACTCTAAATTTATTTCCAGAATAATATATGTCATATTTTAGACCTATTTATGTGAGTATAAAATTAACTACAAAACTGTATCTGAATATTTGAAATATGTGATATCCACTTACATATGGTACCCTGAAGATGGTGATTTAGCTGTTTGGTATCTACAGTAAGGCATGAAAATACTTTATATTTTCCTAGGTCTAAGCTATTTCTTTACAACTTTCCCTCTAAGTTTTGATACTGTGAAGGTTTTAGCTATGTAGTTAAAAGCCGATAGGCTTGAATATTAACTATGGTTAAGCTTATTTTCTTTCTCCCTCGTTTCCATTCATCAGCTAAGGCAACTGACAGGCCCCCATGCCTACACACAGCAAATACTGCCATTTTATTTACCTTTCAAGAGATGTTAAAAGGTTCATAAATAACAAGTTGTTGTTTTTTTTAATTTAGCTAGTCTTACACTATTGCAATAAAGTGCTAAACGGAGCATCTAAGAATTTTTTTTTTTTTTAGAAATAAATGCTTGTAACTAAAAACTGCTAAAAGTTAAATTAAGAATGATTCATGTAAGAAAAGCTTCTTGGAGAGAGCTGAAAACTCCAATAATTTTCAAATCCTTTAGAAACTTTTTTAACGCAGAGATCAGTTAGCACTCGGATATATGTGAAAAAACAACAACATGTGGATCACAGATGTTCTTTGGAAAAGAAAATCATTAGTTCTTTTAAAATGGCTAATAATGATAGCTAATTCCTAAACAATCATACTCGCGCTGGTTTAACAAATATTTCAGGAAAAGAGCCCTGACTCATTCAACAAATATTTTGCTCATATTGTCACTTCTGTGTCTCTATACTTATGAGATAGATCCTTATTTTTATTAATTGCCGATGACTAACATAACATTTCCAGTAGTTTGCTATTAACCTCTGCCCTTAAATAATACTTCTAATTCCTTATCTAAAAATAATTTGATGAATTATAAGTTTGAAGCATGTCTCCGCTAGCCTTTCAAGAGACATGATGATTTTAAGAGACTGAAATCAGATGCTTCTTAGAAAAATATTTAACAGTGCAGCTGGGAACTGTTAGTTCTACAAGGGTATTCCAAAAAGAAAAAAAGTGGGGGGTTGCTTTACTTGATATGCGTGTCTCTTAAAAATAATGGAAAGCAGATATTTTGATATGCTAGTTCTTTGTCAGCAGAGAAATAAATTGGCTCATTCCCAATTTACACTGGCAAAAATAAGATTAATTTATTCTAATACTATTTCCATGCTTTGGCATATTGTGACTACCTCAAAGTCTATCGATTGAAACTCTATTAATGATGACAGTAATCTGATCAATGTCTTGAAGAAAGTTACTAAAAAAGCCAAATGCTTTCTAATTCCCCAATACCTTTTTCTAGGTCACTTTTCCATAAGTGATACTGTTAGAGCATATAAATTTGGGAAGACAACGAACATGTCAGAATATTTGTAACATTCAACAAATAAAAAATAATGACTCCCTTAAGTACTATATTGGTTTTTAAATGATACATTTATAGATTTACTTGGTAGAGGAGAGAAGAGGAATGAAATGAAGCACTTTGTTGCAAAATGTGAACATAATTACATTTTTAAGAGAGGTCTCTGGGACTGGAAATATGGTAGACCACAGGCAGGAGGAGTGGGGACCTACTCTTAAAATTAAATTTGATCACAACAGCCCTGAACAGTAGAAAAGAACGAAGACTAACAGCCTTCAAATAATGAGACGGATCCATTCGCAGAAAACTAAAATGGTACAAGGAACAACCTAAACTTTAAATGTAGTAAATTTGCCAAGCAACATTACACTGCATATAAAGAGGGCAAAATATAAACAGTAGCCACATGTAAATAAATTAGTAAAACTTTCAGGATGTTACTACTTTTCAAACTGACAAAGTTTAATTTGACACCTTCTGTTCTAAACCCTTTGTTTCTATTCATAATCACGCCTTGAGCTGTTGCTATCAATCACAGCGCTCCCCCTATTACTTAAAAAAACTGGCATGGACCCCGAATAAGCTGAAAATGCCATGCAGATGAATTCTGAGATAATATGTTCAAACCTGTTATATACAACACAAATCCTGTAAAGTTATGTATTGTAAACCTACATTTATTGAGAACTAAAAGTCTTAAATCCATCTGCCACAAAGGAAATACTGTTATGTACTTTGGACTAACCAAGAACCATCTGCAAATGTCTTGCCACTGTAACCAAGAAAATGGTGCAAAAGATGCTAAAACCAAGACTGCATGAAATAAATAACGTTCTTTTGACTGGTTTTGGTTAGGGATCTATTAAAGAAATGTAAGATCTGGGGGGAAAAAAGGAAACGAGAGAAAATGCAGAATGACTGCCAAACCAGTACTAAAAAAAAAAAAAAATCAAAACAAACTCAATGACAACACAATGGCAATTTATTATGGTCCATGAAACACATGACTGTATGCTCATTTTAAAGGAAAAATTAGCAGTTCTAAACTCAATATTCTAATGATGTGCTTTACTGACAGAATCTTGTTGTACCACATTTAAATAAAAATCCTGGCACCTTCATCTCTCAGCTGCTAATTTCCAACCAAATTCAATCTCTGATTTCCACTCCACTCTTTTTATACCGTTAATTCAAGTCAATTCACTTCTAACATTTTAACAGATAAGGGGTGCACAATGATTTTAAGTCAGGCAAGTAACCTCATTTTATGAATGAATTTATTGTACCTATACAGTCTCACACACATAAAAAGAAAACCCTTACAGGGCCAGATCTGTGACAGAACTGGGAGCACATAACACAGTTAGTTTTCCAGGGGAAAACAGCCCAGTATTCTCTGAAAAAAAAAAAAAAGTCATTTAATACAATACACAGTTATGTATATATTACCGTTATATACATATACATTTTAAACCCAAGGGCTATGAAAAGAGAAAGAAAATGACAAATAATTCTTGCTGCAACTAAGAAGGAAAAATACATTTTAAAAAATAGAATGGTAATTTGAGTTCTAAAAAGCAAAACATTTTATGGTCTGTATTTATTCCCCCCACCCCTTTCA